CCCCCCCCCCTTAAACTCCTTAAACGCTGCAATAAATGCTTACAATCATCAGACAAATTACTCTCTTCTAAATTGATAGAACATTAACAAAATTGTAATTGATGGATGCTATCTCATTTGAACTACTCCCGTTTGAACATTGTTCATTTCAACTTTATATATCTGCACGTGGTACCACGTGAGTAGTTGAAATGAACAATAGTTCAAACGAGTAAATATATTGCTCATTTGAACTATTTTCATTTGAACTATTAATATATTTTAAATGGAATAAACAAAAAAATAGTTCAAATGAACATTAAGATAGTTCAAATGGACATAAAAACAGTTTAAATGAACAAAACAAATAGTTCAAGTGAAATAGTTCAAAAATGAAAAAAATAGCTCAAATGAGAAAAAAATATTTCAAATGAAAATGACAAAAAAAGTTACAATGGACATAAAAATAGTTCGAAATGGACATGAAAATAGTTCATATGAAATAGTTCAAATGAAAAAAAAAATAGTTCAAATAGACATAAAAATAGTTGAAATGAACAAAAAAATAGTTCAAATGGACAAAAAAGTAGTTCGAATGGACAAAAAAATAGTTCAAATGAAAAAAAAATTTGTTGAAATGAACAAAAAAAAATAGTTCGAATACACAAAAAAAATATTTTAAATGGACAATATAAATAGTTCAAATGGATAAAAAATAGTTCAAATGGACATCAAAATAGTTCAAATGGACAAAAAATTTGTTAAAATGTGACAAAAAAATGGTTCAAATGAACACAAAAAAAATCTTGCCCCCCCCCCCCCTTGCTAAAATCTTTTATCTTGTATTGGTCACTGAAACTGGTGTATTTTTCGACCTACACATATCCGCCATACTCCACTTCTGACCTACGCCAAATCCGCTATACTACACATCCGACCTACTAGCACGTGGTATTACAGCTGCTATATGGACTTGTCCGTGGGAGGTGACAGATAAAGGGGCAACAATTTTATTTGAAATTTTTGTTTGTTTATTTTTCATTTGAACTATTTTTTTCATTTAAAACTATATTTCAATTCATTTCAATTTTTTTTCATTTGAACTATTTTTTTCATTTGAACTATTTTTTTTCATTAAAAACTATATTTTAGTTCATTTCAATTTTTTTTTCATTTGAACTATTTCATTTGAACTATTTTTATGTTCATTTGAACAATTTTTTTTTCTTTTGAACTATTTTCATGTTCATTTGAACTATTTTTATGTTTATTTGAACAATTTTTTTTAATTGAACTATTTTTAAATTTATTTGAACTTTTCTTTTTTTCATTTGAACTAATTCATTTGAACTATTTTTATGTTCATTTGAACTATTTTTATGTTCATTTGAACTATTTTTTTGTTATAATTTAGACTATTTTAATTGTCATGAGCATAACAATTTATGGGAATTATAAAAAAAAAATTTATAAACTGAATGGGGTAGAAAAATAGCTCAAATGAGCAAGAAATGTGTTGATTTAAACTACAGGATATGACGTCATGTCAGTAGTTCAAATGAACAATAGTTCAAATGAACAATAGTTCAAACGAACAATTGTTCAAATGTACTTTAGTTCAAACGGCAGTAGTTCAAATGAGAATCCACCTAATTGATGTTCTTAAGGTTAGTTCTGGAGAGACCTTTAATAATAATATCATTTTCGGTAATTGAAGGATTTCAGCCGAACATAAGGGCATGGGGTGTAACAGAGGGGGATTAAATTTTGTAGATCCTCAGTAAATAATTTTCGTCTGATAGCTGGTGGGGTGAGGAGAGGGGGAGGATATCAGCTTTGATACAAGTGTGAGTTTTTATCATTTTTAGGGCTAAAATAGGTACGATTTTCACTTTTTAGGTTTTAGTTAATATTTCTTCAACTTTTTTACAATAACAGTTGGTGGGGTGGGGAGAGGGGGAGGATATCAGCTTTGATATGAGTGTGAGTTTTTATCATTTTTAGGGCAAAAATAGGTACGATTTTCACTTTTTAAGTTTTAAGTAATATTTCTTCAATTTTGTTACAAAAAAAAATTTGTGAATGTTATGACTTTGATAGGTTGGGTTTGATTGTTTATCTGATCTGGATACAAATGTTAAGGATGGATACAAATGTTATATATTTGATATAGGTTGGGTTTGATTGCTTATCTGATCTGGATACAAATGTTAAGGATGGATACGAATGTTATCAATTTGATATAGGTTGGGTTTGACATGCTTATCTGATCATGGATAAAAATTTCAAAGATGGATAGGAATGTTATGAATTTGATATAGATTGGGTTTGGTTGTTTATCTGATCTGGATACTTTTGTTAAGGATGGATACAAATGTCATGAATTTGACCAACCTGAATCAAATTTTTTTTGTAAAAAGTTGAAGAAATATTACTTAAAACTTAAAAAGTTAAAATTGTACCTATTTTAGCCCTAAAAATGATAATAACTCACACTCGTATCAAAGTTGATATCAACCCCCTCTCACCACCGGACACCAGCTGTTATTTTAAAAAAGTTGAAGAAATTACTTAAAACTTAAAAAGTGAAAAACGTATCTATTTTTGCCCTAAAAATGATAAAAACTCACACTCATATCAAAGCTGATATCCTTCTCCTCTCCCCCACCCCACCAGCTGTCAGATTCTACGCAGGCATTCAAAGAAAATTATTTAATGTGGATCTACAAAATTCAATCCCCCTCTGTCTCTCTCTTGGAATTATAGTATTGACACGCGGCATTCGGGAAAATTCGAGACCGCGACGCCCTCCCTTGAAAGTCTCCCTACACCCCATTCCTAATAATGGGACAGTACACGAGCGGGGGAAGGCAAGCGGCCATGAGCCACCACTTTTTCCCCTTCCGTACCACCAAATTTGACTCTTCCGGGCAAAACTACTTTTTCAAATGGTATATTTAGGGCCTTTAAAGTGTGATTTTAAAAAATCCAGCCACATCACGCAAAAAAAGCACATTTCAAACGATTTTTTCAATTCTACTTAAGATTAATATTTTGGGTGTTGAATTCTTTAACTGTTTTACAATGAAATTTTTGACAAATTTGACTGATTATTGCATCCTGAAATATCACAAAGTCTAATAATTATTGGTTAATGAGTGATTTTAAGATGGATTTAGTATATAGTCATAATTGAATAATCATTATGACTAATTGAAATATTTCAAAATGCAATACTCAGTCAAATTTGGTAATTTCCTAGAGAATGATTTTTGGACCCCCCCCCCTCCTCCTATCAATTTTGTACACGGATCTTAAATGCAGTGGCCGCAGCGCTCGGCCTCGACCATAGCCGCAGCGATCGGCCCAAAAAGTGTCAACCTAACCTATAACCCTAAATATAAATACTATAATTGAAAATTGTTGAAAAAGTTGTCTGCATGTACAAAATTGATTGCAGGGGGGGGGGGGTCCAATAATCGTATACATGGACAGACCCGAGTGTTATAATTCATCACTCCATTTATAATTAGTATCCTAATTGTGTTAATTACTATCCTCCATGTATAGTGAAATTAGTATTAAATCATGATTGTGCATTCCCTCCGCTGAAAACATTTTACCTACGGTGGCTTCCGATTATAAGGTGAAATAAAAAAGGGTAGAAAGGATGTACCGGTAGAAAGAAATACCGCGTGGAAAAGACGACTTTTTTACTCTTAAAGCATTTACAAAATTGCTCATGCTTCTGTACCGGATAGATCTGTACATGGTGGTATGGGTTTAATATATTTTATCCAAATTATTTAGTTATTAATTTAAAAACGGGTCTCTTAGCTTTCAGGCTTGAAATTGTGTATAGCGAGGACCCAAGCCGAGTTTCTGCGTTTTTTGCTTGAGCCAGAGTTTTTTGCTGGTCTCAAGTTTTTTGCTAGACTTTGTTTAAATCTGGTCCGTCCAGAGTTTAGCTTAGTGCTGCCTTGTCTAACCTCAGATACAGACGTCTGAACTCTGCGGAGATTGGACAGGATTCCCCGGCTTCTACAGTTTAGTCCTCTACACCCTCAATATAAAAAATAACGCCATCTTCTTTACCCTGTACTCGAATAAAGGCTTGAACAACAATACTCTTTTCAGTGAAAACATAAGGATTTATATATTAATTTTCAGTTTCCACATCACAGTTTAATTTACTATTATGTTATACCCAAATATTTCGTGATTATAGATAATATGTCCGAAATAGTTGTTGAAGACTCCAGTTCTGATCCTGATGAGATTCAAGAGGTTTCAGATTCCGGAGAGGAGGAGGAGGGGAGTAGAGTATTCGTCTCCAAGAAGATACCAACCGACTCAGAGTGGTTTTCACAGGTTAGATTTCATTTTTTAGTGTTTGAAACTTTGCGCGTTTTTTACCTCTCTTTCCCGCATTTTTTAAAAACTACTTTATCCTCCAGGTATCTAAGAAAGAAAAGCGTTACCAACAAAAGCATCTAATTGATCCAGATGACCTTGAGAAGCTAGAAATAGTGTGTACGTCCTGCTTCAAGACTATAACCCACCTGGAGCAGGGTTCGGTGGTCCGACACCCGGAGTTGGGAGCTCCGGTCTGTAAGAACTGCAAGAAGTTTTATCACCTTGGAGAATGGACAAGGAAAATTAATTCATATATATGTTGTTTAAAAATCGACGTTTTTGTCAATTTATTTTTTATTAAAGCCGCTCTTTTAAAGTCGTACTTATGACTTTTTGTTTTGTTGATTATAAATATGATGATAAAGAGGAGAGGATGGTTCATTCGAACATTGTCGCTGGTGCGCTAATGGAGGAGAACTGTTACTGTGTGATAAATGCAGGTATATCGTTTAACTGAAATATTTTTGTGTTGAGGACTTTGTAACCTTTTTTAAGGATTGACATCAAATGATATTTACATAAGATTTATTTTACTTATTATATTTTTTTTATTTAGTAGTTATTTATCAAATAATACTTTTTTTATAAACTGAAAAAGATATGCATTGCGATCATAGGCGGTTTCAGGATTTAAGACAGGGGGGGGGGGTAAGGGGCACCCACCCCCTTATATTGATTTAACCCCCTCCCTGTATGTAATGTAATCAAACAAATTGAAAGCTAAAAAGTTCTATTTACCCTCCTAACCCTACTAAAATTACATTTTCTTTTACCTTTTATTACAGGGTAGGAAAAATGCCTTAATAGTCCATTTAGTTATCTATAAAAATATTATAGATTGCTGAACTTTATAATGGTACACTGTATATTTACATTCATACATTTTACATAAACTCTTTTTCTGTGAGAGTGACAAATCCATATATCAGTATAAAGTAGTCTAAATCTTTAAACATATTCAAGAACAGTTATGATGAGCATGTAAAAAATGTCGAGAATGCATTATGAAAAAAAATCCAGTGCAGAATCGCTTTTGAATTACCAAAAGTGATATTTAAGCGAAACCAAAACAATATAACAATTTAACATAACATATCAATCTTGAAGGGAGAATTATTTTTATTTTTCTGCTATTCTTTCTCTTTTATTATGCTTCTTAAATCATGCTAATTTTTCTTGCAGGAGACTGCAAGTAGTTTCTATGTCAATTTTAGAGTTAAGAATAAAAGTATACCATAAGAAGGCTGAAAGTAAATAAAAAAATCCCCCCTCCGGGCCACTCAATTCTTCAATATTTAAAACACTCAAAACATATGCGTAAAAAGAGCGCAATTTTTACGCAATTTTAATGCTAACAAAGACAACTTAAATTCTTTTAAAAAGTTTATTTTTTCAATTTTTTTTGGAAAATGCAATATATGCTGTATCGGAAATTTTAGATACTAGCCTTAGAGGGCGCTTCGCGCCCATCTTCTAAATTAATTGTGAACATGTTCTCTTTGTGTACATCGTAAAACAAAACAAAACTAATTCGCGGATTTTCACAAAAAATTTCGTGGATTTTCAAAATTTTCAAAAATTTAATGAAGATCGAATTTTGATGGAGACAAATATTTGAAATTTTGATCATTCATAAACCTTCCCTGTGGTCACGTGATGTCCCACAAAAAATTTGGGCCCGAACGGTTCAGCCGTTTTGACGTTTATTGGATACAAACAAACAGACAAACAGACAGACAAGCCAAATTTATATATAGATTTCAAAAAAATTAGATTTAGAGTTTTAGGCAATTACGCAAATTGAGCGTATTTTTACGCAATTTGTATACCTGAAATAAAATGATACACATCTCCACAAAGTCACGATATTTTTACTTAAAGCTGGGTTATAAAATATTTTCTTTAGAAAAATTAGATATTTACACTAATTTGAAATCTAGACTTACGCAAATTTGCGTTTTAATTGCGTAATTCGAGCCAAGATAATATGCGTTTACGTTGCTTACGCAATTTGGTTAGCTGGGTTCTCATAGTCTACGATAAACTAGTTTTCTTGGGCCACTAGAAATGAATGAATTAAAAACACAAATGTCTGAAATTGAGGCAAGTCTATATAATTGATATCTTTCTTAAAATTTATTTTCATATTGTTGTCACTTTCAAGTACACTTTATTATTTATATAGAAGAATGAATAAAAACTATACTTTAAAAGAGAAATGATTTGTAAAAATACAGAGGGGGCACCCCCCCTCCTAATTTCACTCAGGAGGGGGGTAATGGACTGCCCCCCCCTGAAACCGCCTATGTTTGCGATATATCGTAATATATTTTCAATACTGAGTTACTTTTTTCCTAGCTGTCTTAACTCTCTAAACTCTACCAGAAATATATTTTCCTAGCTGTTTTAACTCTCTAAACTCTACCAGAAATATATTTTCCTAGCTGTCTTAACTCTCTAAACTCTGCCAGAAATATATTTTCCTAGCTGTCTTAACTCTCTAAACTCTACCAGAAATGAAATATTTTCCTAGCTGTCTTAACTCTCTAAACTCTACCAGAAATATATTTTCCTAGCTCTCTTAACTCTCTAAACTCTCTTAACTCTCTAAACTCTCTTAACTCTCTAAACTCTAAACTCTACCAGAAATGAAATATTTCAATAAACAAATATTTTTCTGTGGTAATACGATGTACCCTTGATAAAATTTCAAGGGGAAGCTGAATATCCTCCTTGGAAACATAGTTTTTGTTTGTATACGGCCCCTACCCCATTCCCTAAAATTTTGTGTATTTGCATTATGATTAATGATTATGGATTCTTTTTATTACTCCAGCAATGCGTTCTGTAAGAAGTGCATCAAGAGAAACCTGGGACGCAAGAAAGTTTCCGAGATTGAGGTGCATTTTGTTTTTGATTTGTTTTTGTTGATTTTTTTAAATTCTCCAAAATTGATTTATAGCCTCTTTTTTCTTGAGATTCCCGTAAAAGAAATCTATTCTAAAAATATGCATTTATTAAAATCAATAAATTAACAAATTTCTGTTAAATATTTGACAAAATAAATGTTGAGGAGATGGAAGAGTGGAGATGTATTGTATGTGATCCAGTTCAAATATATAAACAAAGATCAGTTTATTACAGCATTTATATGTACTTCAAGTAAGTAAAATATAGAGTAAAATACCCCCGGAGTGTATACAGGAGGTAAGGGGGAAAATGCCCCTCTCCTTCTCTCCCCCCCCCCCAAGAAAACCTATTTACGGCCTCTTGAAACTGAAATGTACATTCCCTTGTTTCTGGGGGGGGGGGGGGGATACACTTTTAGGACAACAAAAATTTGATGCTTCTCGAAAGAAATTTAGACAAGCTGCTTCGTCTTCAGATTATGTTTCTCAACCTTAGGCCGAATTTAAAGAATTTAAGTCGCGGCTTAAAACCGCCAAAACCCGGTTTAAATTGAACGCCGGCTTTAATCTTGAAACATTTGATACAATTTTAAGTGAAACCAACCATAATTCAGCCGTGGTTTAAATTAAAATTAAATTTAAACCGCGCCTCAAATTCTTTAAATTCGGCCTTTGATGTTACAACTTATAACAATTGGTTTAAAAAAATGTATTACTATATTTGATCATTATTTTAAACGCAATTGAAACTTTGATAGACAAAAATATTTTTACCTACGCCCCCTCGCTACTCAAATATTATGTCCTTCAGATTTTTTCAAATTGTTCAAAAAATCTGATCATTTTATGTTTTTCCTTGACCAAATATTGGTTAATTCACATTGAGAACTAAGTCTAATGTGTACATCCAAGAAAATAAATGCAAAAGCAAAAATTGGCTTGGTTTGTAGGTTATTTAGCTCTATGGGCATTAAAAAAATGTATATTTTTTCCCATTTAAGTTTCTCCCATGATCAGATTTAAAGATAGAGTTTTCACAACATCTATAAATTATCTTACAATCATGATAAACAGATTTGGTAATTCGTTTAGAAATGCTCCTGTTAGGGTTTTACTATTTTCTACAAAATCGACTCAAGTGCCTCTCATTGAAAAACCCATATATGCTGATCAAAATGGTAAATTTGTTTATCATGGCTTTAAGATAATGTACAAATGTTTTTAAAGTTCTAGCACTAAGCTGACCGTGGGAGAAGCTGAAATGTGCTTTTTTAACATATTTCTATTAAAGCTAAATAACCTACAAATCAAGCGAATTTTTGCTTATTTATTAGATTTAGTTCTCAATTTAATACAGGAAAAACCTAAAATGATCAGAGTTTTTGTACAATTTGATAAATCTAAAAGACCTAATATTTAAGTAGTGCTCGCCTTTTTTAAAAATACTATTTGACGTAGGATTTTCTCCTTTATAGAAATGCGACACAGAGAGAGGAAGACAAAAAAATAAAAAAGAAGAATCTGGAAAAGGTTGAATTCATTCAGGACGTTTATAAGGTAAAACTTAATCGACATTTTCTTCTCAAAATTTCATAGATTTTCTCGAATCTAGATTTGATTATAAGATTGGAAGTAAAATGGAATAGGTTATGAAAAAGTAGGGTGAAGCGGGAACGGGATTCTAGCTGCTTTTTCTCTCGATTAATCAGAAATGATAACAGTAAATAAATAAATAAATAAATAGATAAATAGATAAATAGATAAATAGAGAAATAGATAAATATATAATAAATAATAAATAATAAATAATAAATAATAAAGAATAAATAATAAATAATAAACAATAAATAATAAATAATAAACAATGAATAATTAATAATAAATAATAATAATAAATATTTATGCGTTATTTTAAAAATATTGTTGAAAACTAAAATTCGGCCAAATCTTTTTTTGTGCTACTTTTGTGCATCACTTTTTTACACGGTTTTTGAATCACTTAAAGATTTGTCTGTCTGTCAATATTAATTTTTTTAATGAGGTTAATCGGAGGGGATTTTTTTGCGCTTAGATCGTTAAAAGTAACTGAAAATTACTCATAATTACTTAAATCGTTAAAAAAATATAATGTAAACTATTTTAACGAAATATGTTTCAGGACGGGTTCGCTGTTAATGATATCCTCAAGACATATCTGGAAAGGTAACATTTGATTTGCAAACATTATAAAATTACTTTAAGAATGTCTACAATTTTATTAACCCGCCCCCTACCCACCCCCTTCTCTCTCTCTTATAAATATCTTACATATTTTCTTAGGTATCCTTCTCTCTCTCTTATAAATATCTTACATATTTTCTTAGGAATCCTTCTCTCTCTCTTATAAATATCTTACATATTTTCTTAGGTATCCTTCTCTCTCTCTCTTATAAATATCTTACATATTTTCTTGCGTATCCTTCTCTCTCTCTTATAAATATCTTACATATTTTCTGACCTATTCTTCTGTCTCTCTTATAAATATCTTACTTATTTTCTTACTTATCCTTCTGTCTCTCTTGTAAATATCTTACATATTTTCTGACGTATCCTTCTGTCTCTCTTATTAATATCTTACATATTTTCTGACGGATGGTTATTAGTGTCTCCAATTCTTTAATAAAACCTCCTTTTAAGAAATGAAGAAATGAAAACCAAACATACTTAACATTAACTTAATTTATATCCAGAGCGCAGAAGAATTGGGGGAAGAAGGCAGATAGTGGAAAAGTAGAGGATGTTTTGAAAACTATTAAAAAGATACGAACTATTATCAAAATAACAAAACACAATCTTAGGTAAAACTTTTTCTAAATAATTCAAGTGCAAACAAATTCAATCTGGAATTTTTTTATTTATTTCAAAAATCCCAAATTAGGGTGAAAATCACGATTCTTAAACATTCTCCTTGAAAATAAGCTTTAATATTTTAGTGTGATGGAAGAGAACTTGTTGGAGCAGGTTAAAACTAAATTTCCGGAAATCCATGACGCAGACCTAGAACCAGAGAAGATTGCTATACCCGGAGAAGATCAAACGAATCAGTCCGACTCCGGGTCCTCCAGATCATCTAGAGCTGAGGCACCCAGTGTGAAGAGTACTGAACCTACCCCGAGCTCTTCAAAAAGCAGTCCGGGGACAGGGGGATCACAAAACCTGAAAGAATCTTTGGATAAGAAGTCAGAAACATCAAACCAGAAAACCGAAGTATCGGAAACGATATCAAGTTCGGAAGTGAAATCAGAAAAATCGGATAAGCCTACAACATCGGAAAACAAAAAAGCAGCAATCCGTATTCGAACCGTGCACGACATCAATGAGAACTCGGACCGAGATCACGAGAACATGTCCCCCGTCAGTATCACACATGAGGAGGATAAAGGTGCTGAACCCCAGGAGAAGGATGAGGATGAACTAGATGAAAGTGTTGTTGAAATTACACCTGACGGGACGGAGAAAGTGACACCCTGTGGCGAAAAATCTAAATCAGAAAGGAAGTTCTCCAAAATTAAAAAATCCTCGATAATTGAAGATAAATTCTCCAGAAATGTTGAACCCAAAATCCTTGACGAAAAGTCAAGAAAAGAGTCCGAGTTATCTCCTGGAACTTCCCGGGTTCGGATAAAAACTGTTGATGATATTAATGAAAATTCCGACCGAGATTTTGGAAATATATCTCCGATTAGTATTACACACGAGGTCGGAGAAGAGGAGGAGAGTTCAGAAGAAAAGAATTCAACAGATGATCAAGTTGAGACGAAGAAAGACAATCCACAAGGTGAGAACAAGAAGAAGAAAAATAAGAAGGAAATTAAAGGTGAGAAGGACAATGAGAATGAAATCAAGCCCAAGAACAAGGAAAAAGAGAAGAGAGGAAGTAAGGATAAGAAGAAGGAGGATAACCTGAAAGAGAAGAAGACTGAAAATAAAGTTCCTGAAGATTCTGATGAAAACTGTGAAGAAGGCGAGGCCGGGGTGGAAATAACTCCAATGCAAGATGTTGAATTTGTTCCTAAATCAAGTGATAAACCCAATAAACAGGACGAGAAAGATAGTTTAGATCTAGAAAAAACCACTAAAGACACTTCCACGGAACACGCAGTTGTTTCCAAAGATATTGAAACTCCCAAAGACAAAGGAGACTCTACCCTTGGCCTAAAGACAAGAAAAAGTTCCAAAGACGGATCGAACGCGGAAAACTCTGAACCTGTGATTGAGAATGCAGACTCTACTCCTGTTGACATAATTGTAGAAATTACTGAAGAGATTTGTGTTAAGAAACCTAAGATATTAGAAGGAGTAACCACCACCCCGGCTAGTGATGAACATTTGTCAAATTGCAACCTGAATCCTGAACCTGAGAATCAGGATTTAGAAAACTCGGATATTTTCGCAGAAAGTGATACCGCAGAGCCGGATGAAAATCATAATTTATCCGGAAATGATACCTCTAAACTTGTGCCAGATAAATCTAATGTGCCAAACAATTCTAAAAAGTCCGTTTTAGAGAAAGCAGAAATTCCTACCCTTGTAGGCAAGATAAATGCCGATAAGATGAAGAAGTTACAGGCCCGTTTAGGCGGGGTAGCGGAAACCTCAGATGAAGATGATAATAAACAGAAGGATCAAAAATCCACAAGGAATTCTAAACATAAATCCGCGAAAAACGCAGACCAAGAATCCACCAAAAATTCTGACCAAGAATCCACCAAAGGTTCAGATAAAGAAGAAACTGCAACAAAGAAAAAGACTAGGAATAAAACTACCGACAAGACGGATATAAGCAAGGACAATAAAAAGATGTCATCGACCAAACGATCTAAGGTGACGGACAAAGATAAGAAATGTTCTGATAAAACAATATCTCTTTGTCAGTTCACTTCGTCGGATGATGATTCTGCACTGAGACCTGGAAAATCCACGAATGGAGAAGAGAAAATAGAAAAACCTGGAAGTGTCGCTAAAACTTCGAGCGATGATGAAAAAGAGAAATATGAAAGGTTGAACAAAGAGGCCAAAGCCGCAGTCCTCAATTCCAGTGCTTCGGAGGATGAAAATACCTCCAAGGTTGAGACCAGTACTCCCAGGAAACCAGAGTCAAAATCCCTTGAGGGCATGAACAGATTAGAGGCTGAGAAACGATCAGATACTGATATTGAAAGGCTGAATGAGGAAGCTAAAGCTGTTGTTCTTCAATCAACCTCTTCCGATAACGAACCCCTGAAGAAGATCGTGGATCAGGAGGCAGGATCACCAAGGAAGAAACTGAAGACGAAAAGAGAACTTGATAAGATCCGACGGAAGAGCGGACAGACGGATAACCTAGAAGAAGATACATCTGACGAAGAAGATTTAGGTGGACAAAGATCAAGAAAGAGGAAGATAGAAGATGTATCTTCGGAGCAGAAGAAAAAACAGAAGGTTGGATCAAATTCTGAAGATGAGGTTGAAGACGAGAAGAGTAAATTAGATTACGATCTGTCGGATATAGATATTGAAAACCTACGTCCTTGTTGGGTCGAAATCTGTAGACTAAACCCAGGAGTCAGAAGAGAACTTAGAAAGTATCGCAAGGTTAGTGAAAATGAGTTGCGGGGAGGGGGGGGGGGGATAAAATCCACATGTATTGTGTAGACATTAATTAATTTTTTTACTCCTAGGTGGCACTGTCAGAAAATCCCGGACTTCTCAAAGTTGTCCGTCCTGCTCCCGGCTCCGATATTGAAAGGTGGGACGCACAACCAGGGTGCTCCAACCTTCTCATCCGTCCTTACTCCGAACTCCACCAACACCTCCTTGTGACTGAGGAACAAGAAGATGTGGGGCACCCTGATAGTCGTAAGTTACACAAACATAATCATCTTTATATTTCAGGTTATGTAATCTTAAATCCATACACGGAAAGCATCCCGGGAAGAATGCTAAAGGATTAAAAGTTGGATCTAAAAATGAGCGGAGAAAGAAGAAGGATGGTTTGGAAGATATGAGCAGTGAAGAGGAGGATCAGGGTATCATGGAGAACCCACAATCAGAAGACGAAACTCGCACTTCTTCCAACCGTAAGGTACCTCCCAAGAGCTTGGAAAATTAGTGTTTTTTACTCAATAGAAATAAATAAAATGGAACAAAATTTGAAGTTATCAAAATTAATTATTTTTTACAGTCGCGGAGAGTCACTAAAAATTACTTATATTATTAAAATCCTTATAATTTCAGGATGAAAACTCTGTCGCTAAAGCTGCAGTATTAGCGTCGTCCAGCGACGAAACCGGAGCTGTCTCCGACGGGTCCACTGCCCCAGTGGTTCCGGAAGAACCTAGAAAGAAGACGGAAACGAACGGAGGAGAGAAGCGTGAAACTAAATCTAGTTCTAAACCCGGCATTCTCAGCATGAAACTCAGTGAAACAGAAACCAGTGAAGATGAAGCCAAATTTAGGTAAAAAGGGAGACATAAAAAATCTAGAAAAAAATCTCGGGAGAGGTTGAATTTTTATTCAAGTAATAAAAACATTTACAAAATCATATAATCCTTTCTTATAATTTTAAAATAATTTTTTTACAAACTATTTTATTTTTCAGGAAAAAATCTAAACCGGTGGCCAAGGAGTCCGACTCGGATGCACATTCTGACGTGGCTCCGTCCGGAAGCAAAAAACGGAAATCCGGCCGGGTCCGAAAACACGTGGTCGAGTCCGACGATAACGACAGTAATTTCGAGGCTCTCAGTGACGAGGACCAAGAGGAAGAAGAAGAGGAGGTAAACTCGGACGATTCTGAAATAATACCGAAGAAGAAAACTCGAAGACGTAAAGCTTCGACGAGTAGCGAGCAGAGTGGGTCGGAGAACGAGGAGAAACCCAAGAAACGTCGGCGGATCAAACACAACAGCGAGAGTGGATCAGGATCAGGTAAAATTAAATCATCCGTCTTCTTTAATGTCATGACAAAATCGACAAAACTATATTTTCAGATGACGAGAACACGTCGAAAGGACGACACAAGATTCGAAAAGTCATCAAAGATAAACATTTGACGGACGAAACCAAAACGGCGGCGGCCGAGGAGCGTGAGCGGCGGCAACGAATGGAAGAACGACAAGCGGCCTACAACAAAATGTTTAGTCTCCCTGAAAGTGACAAGGAGACCGTGGATCAGCTGGTTCTCGACTTCGACCCCGACACCAAGGAGGTCCTGGTGGAAGTGCATAAGAAGTTGGTGACTAAACTGAAACCTCATCAGGTTCGGGGAGTTAAGTTTATGTGGGACGCATGTTTTGAGTCTATAGCTCAGATAGAGGCTGGGAAGGTACCTGGAGGAGCGATCCTTGCGCACTGTATGGGCCTGGGGAAGACCCTGCAGACTGTGACTCTGAGCCACACCGTGCTGACCAACGACAGGGTTGGAGTCAACAGGGTTCTCGTTATCTGTCCCGTCAACACTGTCAAGAACTGGGAGGACGAATTCGAGAAATGGTTAAAAGGTAAGATAACTATTTTTTGCATACAGGGTGTCCCAAGAAGCAAAGGAATTAAATAACGACTTCTATATCGTCTTTGTTACATGCGGAATTATTCTGGTCTCGGGATTTTCAAAATGTGGTCTACCATTTTTAACCTTTAAAATTCATGTAGATATTAGGAAATTTATCCAGATTCCAGTTTATAAAAAATCAACAAAACTGTATAAATGTTCAATAACTCAGTTAAATTTAAGGATACTGAGAAGGTAGACCACATTTTTGAAAGCTCATTAGTCTTCGATCTTTGTTAAGTCATTTCTAAATTTTCTAGTTAGTTATAACTAAAATATATTTGCTTTGTGATCGGTGAGTTCCATAAAATTTTGGTCTAGAAGGGCGACATTTTGAGTAATCTTGTAGATTTGATGTTGTTATTTCTATATTTCTATTCAAGTAACTTTAATCGTAACAGTCGTATTCCTATTTCACAGTTAAATGTGTGTCAAGATAAATACATATATTTATACATGTTTATACCCTTCTTTTTGATACTTTTTACCTCCTAAAACTCTTATTTTTCCCAGCTCAGCAAATAAAACCGAAACAAAAATCTGCTCTGTGCAAACATTCCTAACATCTGAGGAAACCCAAATATTGTAAAAAGAGGGGAATAATTTTTCAAGAAAATGTAAAACGATTGTTTGTATTTAGGTAGTATGGAACTGGACGTGTTCGGTATGTCCGGAGAGAAGGATAACTGGGGTAGAGCAGACAAGCTCCAGGCCTGGTTCAGGGAGGGGGGAGTTCTAATCATAGGATACGATATGTTCAGAAACCTAACCAACGAAAAGAATAAGAAGTTTAAAAGTAAACAGAGAAATATATTCAACCAGTAAGTATATAAATTTTTTTACGTATTTTGAACAAAGAAAAAATCCTATAATACTTATATATATAATGCTGAAATATTGCGTGAAAGGTTCATTTTTGTTGTTGCGATCCTTGAATCTGCATTTGTTTGCGTATGCGGATCCAGGAAATTAAATTATTGCGGATTTCTTTAATCCTGATCCTACGTAATTGTGTTTAGGTGTTTGTTAGACCCTGGACCAGATCTAATTGTTTGTGATGAAGGACATCTTCTCAAGAATGAGAAATCTGCCATCAACCAGGCGGTTAACAAGATAAAGTCGTTGAGAAGGTAGGAATAGTATAGGGACAAAATGTACCTTAACTAGGCTTAATTGTAAGAAGGTTCTGTTTATTGCTTGTTTTTAAATCTGACCTGAACCCCCTCCTTGAATATAATCTTGTTTCTAGAATACTCCTGTCCTGAACCCCTCCTTGAATATAATCTTGTTTCTAGAATACTCCTCACCTGAACCCCCTCCTTGAATATAATCTTGTTTCTAGAATACTCCTCACCTGAACCTCCTCCTGAATATGATCTTGTTTCTAGAATACTCCTCACCTGAACCCCCTCCTTGAATATAATCTTGTTTCTAGAATACTCATGTCCTGAACCCCCTCCTTGAATATAATCTTGTTTCTAGAATACTCCTCACCTGAACCCCTTCCTGAATATAATCTTGTTTCTAGAATACTCCTCACCTGAACCTCCTCCTGAATATGATCTTGTTTCTAGAATACTTCTCACCTGAACCCCTCCTTGAATATAATCTTGTTTCTAGAATACTCCTCACCTGAACCCCTTCCTGAATATAATCTTGTTTCTAGAATACTCCTCACCTGAACCCCTCCCTGAATATGATATTGTTTCTAGAATACTCCTGTCCTGAACCTGTTCCTGAATATGATCTTATTTCTAGAATACTCCTCACCTGAACCCCTTCCTGAATATAATCTTGTTTCTAGAATACTCCTCACCTAAACCCCTCCCTTAATATAATCTTGTTTCTAGAATACTCCTGTCCTGAACCCCTTCCTGAATATGATCTTGTTTCTAGAATACTCCTGTCCTGAACCCCCTCCTGAATATGATCTTGTTTCTAGAATTCTCCTCACCTAAACCCTTCCCTGAATATAATCTTGTTTCTAGAATACTCCTCACCTGAACCCCTCCCTGAATATAATCCTGTTTCTAGAATACTCCTGTCCTGAACCCTTCCTTGAATATAATCTTGTTTCTAGAATACTTCTCACCTGAACCTCTCCCTGAATATAATCTTGTTTCTAGAATACTCCTCACCTAAACCCCTCCCTTAATATAATCTTGTTTCTAGAATACTCCTGTCCTGAACCCCTTCCTGAATATGATCTTGTTTCTAGAATACTCCTCACCTAAACCCCCTCCCTTAATATAATCTTGTTTCTAGAATACTCCTCACCTGAACCCTTCCTTGAATATAATCTTGTTTCTAGAATAATCCTGACCGGAACCCCACTACAGAACAACTTGAAGGAGTACTATGAGATGGTCAACTTTGTTAAACCCTCCCTGCTCGGGACCAGGAAGGAGTTCATGAATAGGTTTGTCAACCCTATCGTGAACGGACAACACTCCGACTCCATGGATCGGGATATTAGGATCATGAAGAAGAGATCATTCATCCTTAATGATCTTCTCAAGGTAATGGATGGGATGGGATGGGATGGGATGGGATGGGATTGGATGGGATGGGATGAAATTAGAATGACAAATTTGGTGATCTAAAAAAATGAATTAAGAAGTGGAACTTAAAGAGTAATGAAATTGATAGAGAAGAAGGCAGTTAGAGGATTGGAAGGAAACAAAATGTGTGAAGAAGATTAATTGAAGAATTATCCCCTTTTCTTTCCAGGGTTGTATGCAAAGATTAGATTACCACGTGTTAGTTCCGTATCTCCAGCCTAAACTGGAGTACGTTATCTCCATCAACATGACGGATCTACAGAGCAGGCTGTACAAGTTCTACCTGGAGAACTACGCCAAGGCTGGTCAGGTCGGACTGGACGGAAAGCTAGAGGGAGGAAAGAAAGGGGGATTGTTCTATGATGTACAGAACTTATCAAGGATCTGGAATCATCCTTATATTCTTCATTTATCCAAACTTAGGAAAATGGACAAGGTAATAAAAACACTATTTTTTATAAATTTTAAAGTTGTAGAATAATCACGCACTGTTGACCAGGTCTAATTTTTCTTCTTCATTAGTTAGATATATATTAGTAGATACCATTTATACCATTTAGAACTTCAGGGAGGTTGGAAAATGTAGCGAATAAATGGTTTGAACAAATTTAATTTAAAAATAATTTCTACTATCAAAATAATTGTAATCCGTAAGAAATGCGAGAAATTTTGGATAAAAATGCGCGAAAATTTTCAAAACAGTACACAAAATGACGAACTGTTTGCATAAAACATGTGCAGTTTGTCTCACACAATATGGTAAAAAGTCGACTAAAATTCAAAAGATTACTCCTGCTATTGAAACCAAGATCAAATGCTTCGTCTAGAACCAGTTTAATGTACAAGTGGCCAACTATCCTAAGGTTATTTGCAACAACTGTCACAGAAACCTCTATGATCTTGACAAGAACAAGGTGGAATACCTGGGAAACTGGATAGAGAAAATATCAAAGGTAAATATAAGTTGTTTTTTCAAGTATCAGCACAATTAGATGCGTTATAAGTTGGGGCAAAATTTGAAATAACCATAATCTATATTTAATATATGAAGAAATGAAATAATAATCTCTGTTTGGTTATATCCGATCATAACTCAGGAACCCCTCAATTAATTTGCCTCAAATTTTGATTGGGGAACTCTGTAGAACCATAGGAATGTCTTTTTGTGGTTTAATTATTTAAAGGTAAGTGGGTTGACTTTAATTTCCAGGCAAAGAAAGTCTCCAAGCTAGTTTCATATATAACTATATATTTAACTAACTTGAGAACCCAGCTTGGCCTAGAGTTTTCCAAATAAAAATCAACCCACTCAAATAAAAAAATATTCTAAACCAGGCTAAGAAAATTCCCGTGGTTCAAGCAAGTTTCCCAATTCAACTTTGAGTCAAATCGGACCAGGGGTTTATGAGTTATGATCGGATTTACAAACAAACAAACAGATAGACAAATAGAGATTATTCTACTATATATATATATACATAGATGACGTTTCTCTTCTGTTTATAAATTAATCTTTCTTTGAGTATTTAAAGTCAAAGTATAAGTATTTACTAACTATAATTGTAAACTAAAAGAAATTTATTTACTGTGTTAAAAAAATATTGGATGTCATTAAAATACTTGATATGTTTAGATTGACAGATCTGGTCTTAGAAGATCCTCAAATATAAATCTGAAAGCTGAAGAATTGGCTTCATCTAATGTATCTTTTCCTTTGATTGAATGAAACATTATTATTTGTTCAGGAGCAGGATGAGGATGATGAGGAAGAGGAGGGAAGTTTAAAGGATTTTATTGATGATGATGGAACTAGTGATGAGGAGAGTGTAGGTTCGGATAGTGATATCCAGGAGGTGGAGGAGACAGGGGAGGAGAAGAAGAGAACTACTAGGGGGGATAAGGTTAGTTTTTTTTTGTTGAATTGGAGAGGGCGGAAATTTTCTCTTTATCGAGAAGGTTCAAGTATTTATCGATTCAGATTATATTTTGTCTAGCTTTAGAACACGTCGTGTTTGTGAATTTGTCTTGATACTAACCAGCACTCAGCATATATGATAAAGTACACAATAGGTACATAACCCACCCCTTTCTTTAAAAATTAAGATGAAATTACAAAACAAGTCTGGTTGGTTGGTTGGTTGATTGATTGCCTATATTAGTGTGAAGATCTGGTTGGAGGTTTGGGAGATCTACCCCTGGAGTCCTCCTCTAGAGGATGGTGGAATCAACTCCTAAAGGTAACAAGGATAGAGGATTATGTTTTCAAATCAAAATCAACTATTTTCACGGGGGCTTCGTGCCTCTGTTCCATCATCATGAAAATAGAAAACTTTCGACGCTTTTTTATTTTTTTTATTGGCGGACTTTAAAATGATCTGTTTCTTATTTATACACCTTTCCTCAAGTCCTACAACCAATTTGGGTCTGATGGATACAAAAAACTGACAAGCCAAATTTAGAAATATAAACTAATTCACACAATTAAATGATGGAAACGGGTTCCGAATAATCTGAACTATTTTGGTAAGGTGGGGAAAATTTCGTTTCAGAATTTTAAAGATGCAATTTTCTGGAATTAAAACTTTTGGAATGAAAATTATATTTGAAAATTTTAAATAATCATTTAGGGGGACATATGATTGAGGAAAAATTAGTTTTTAATGGAAATGTAAATTTAACATTATTAACTAGGATGAGGAAAATATTGAAGAACTACAGTTTGGTAATAAAATGGTGCTTCTAATGGACATTCTCAGAGAATGTGAACTCATCGGTGATAAAGTAAGAATCCTTTTTTAAAATAGAAATAAAAAATGTTTGAATTTTGGGAGACGAATTGTAAATTTGCGTGATATCGTTTGAGCATTCATTTATAGAGGGGCTTGTACGATTTACAAAGGTACCATTAAAACCTTTGAGCAAAAATAAAGAAGATATCTGGCAAAGTGATAAATTCTTACAATTTCTTTCTTCATCGCTGCGGCATAATTCCGCAAACTACTTTAAAAGAGAAACGACAGTTGGATACAATTCGTTTTTAAATGATAAACAAGGATATCTTCAAGGCTTAAATGGTACCTTTGTGAATTTGGCATGCTCCTTTTTCTAAATTGAGGGTCGCCTTAAATAACGTCTGTATTTAGTCCCTTAAATTGACGAAAAATTCGTCTGTTAAACGGTGTAGAAATGTACGATTTATGTTTTGTATGAAAAGGAATTGTTCACTATTTTTCAAACAGATCAGGGATGACGGTTTCTGAAAAATCTAATTTCTTGTGTTAAGGTTCTAGTATTCAGTCAGTCCCTTCTCTCCCTGGACCTAATCGAGGAGTTCCTTGCTCGGGAACATGAGAACCAGGAGAAACTACTTAGGAAGAACGAGGCAGCTCCGGGTACCATCGGAACCTGGATACTCGGGAAGGATTATTACAGGTATGGTTCATTGTCAAACCTTAGAGAGTTTTTATCTATCTTCTGTTTTAAATTATATATTTATTTAAATTTAAAAATGTTTTTTCTATAGGTTGGATGGAAGTACTGCTGCTGAGACTAGAAAAGTTTGCTGTAAATACTTCAACAAAGCCTCCAGTCATAGAATGAGATTATACCTGATCTCTACCAGGGCTGGAGGACTAGGAATCAACCTGGTCGCAGCCAACAGAGTTATTATATTTGATGCAAGCTGGAATCCCAGTCATGATGTTCAATCCATCTTCAGAGTTTATAGATTCGGTCAGACAAAACCTGTTTACATTTACAGGTCAGAACGCACGGTTAAACTACATTTTTATCAGGGCCGTAACTGGAGGGGGTCCACCGCCCTGTTGTCCCCTTTTCTTTAGGATAAGCTTTTTTATCAACAAATCAATTTTTAAAAGATAATTCAGTGAGTACTGATTAGGTCAGAAAGATGTTTTAACAGTGTATTTTGTAGTTTGCGCTAAAAAAGAGCAAAAAAGCATTATGATAACACAGATTATGTATAAGATTATTAAACTCAAGCTAAAAAGCTAGTTTTAATCACAAAATTGTGCGGGGGGGCGGGGAGAGAAATGTATGGGGACATTTCTCTCCCCCCCCCCCCCACCAAATTTTCATTGAAACATCCAGGTTACTTATTAATCAAAATGGATCTTCGACCACTAAATGCTCAATTTGAAACCAATATTATTTCAATATTTTAGGTTTTTGGCAAAAGGAACAATGGAGGAAAAGATCTATGATCGTCAAGTTACAAAACAATCCCTGGCAGCTCGTGTAGTTGATGAACAGCAGATAGAACGACACTTTACAATGGGAGAACTAGCGGAACTATATGAGTATGTAGAGGAACCTTTATCCGCTAAACCTACTCCTAGTGTACCAGAGGATAGGCTGCTAGCGGAGCTAGTGGATAAACATAAAGAGTTGATCTGGAAGTTTCATCATCACGATTCTCTGCTGGAGAACAAGGTAAACTATTTAATTCATTTCCAATTTTCTTTTCCAGTGTTTTAGTGGTAGGCAACGTTTTTGGACTTCTTATTAATAGATAACCTTTTATTCAATGAAAGAGATTTAAAATAAATCTGTTTTGGGCAGACCGCCTGGGTTAGTCTCCTTACTAGGGCAAGGCAGGCCGTTTTTCCCATGGATACACTGTAATGTCAAGGAGCGTCGGTCCTATGTCATTGAATGATTGGTTGTCTGCTAATAATAATAATAATAGGATACTAGCTCGGGTACCTAGCTTTGCCTGGAAACTAAGCTTTCTCAATAAAATTAAACCAAGCTAAGAACATTCCCGTGGTTATACAGGGTTTCCAAATCAAAATTTGAGGCAAATCAGTAAAGGGGTTTCTCAGTTATGATCAGACAAACGCCAAAACAGAGATTACGACTTTATATATAAATTCATAATTATGAATAGAACCACTTGATTCTTAACTATTCATGTTTTATTTGTTTAATTTTGCGCGAACACTCGCTTTAAATGAGTTTACTGTGTTCAGGTTGATGAGAATCTAACTGAAGCTGAACGTAAAGCTGCCTGGGAGGAATACGAGAACGAGAAGAAGGGTCTCATCCAGACCAACGTCGGGATCGAGAACATAACCGCTTTCGGGGCCATGCTCCAGGGTATGCTCCCCCGCTCCGGGGATGGGAGGGTGATGGCCAGCCCCATCAACCCAATGGCGATCCAGCACCAGTTGAAGAGCATGAACCCTGAGTTAAGCCACGAGGAGCTGGTTATGAGGACAAGGTCTGCTATTATGCAGCTTCAAAATTTGCACCGAACACAGACCCCAGTGATAATGAATCAGAATACACTAGGAGTAGGACAAAGACAGGGCCCAGGATACGATCAATCCTTCTATCAGCAGGTAATTCAAGAAGAAGATCTAACCTTTCTTAGGGTAGAAAAAATACAATTATGACCTTGATTTCACTTTAAAACTAATAACCCCTGAAATATGTAAAGTTAAAAAATCTTTCTCATGAAACTTTGTTGGTACAGGGGAGCCACATCGCATTGGATTTTATTGTAACTTGTACATGAAAAAAAAAGTTTTTAACAATTATTTAATAATTTTTAGGAGATGGCCAAAGCTAAAGCGATGATAAACCAACAATACCCTGGCATGTACAGGTTTGGGTAAATATACTTCCAAATATTGATTTTATGTACAAAGACCAAGATTAATTGATTGTATTGTACAGGTTCCGTGGCGCATCACAGCATGCACCAGGCGCCGCCATGGCAATGATGCCGCGTCAGATTACACCGATGTTCAAACCCAACTCTGGGCCTCCGGAGGAGATTGTCATAGAAGACGACAATGATTCTCCTGTGGTTATCTCCCAAAGACGAGTAGTTCGTCCTCCGGCCGCCAGAGGCCGTGGTGGACGACGAGGAAGACCAAGACTAGATCCAGATACAGACTTAGGTAATCATTTATCAACTCTAGTAGTAGTAGTGAGGGGGAGGGGGTTAAACCAATTAACTATTTTTAAATTTTAAATGTTTAGATTTCTCTCCTGAACCGAGCAGTACAACCGCACATCAAGCACTAATCCAGCAATTACAAGCTCAAGGCATGTCAGTGAAACCATCTTCAGGAAACGAGAGCTAGGTTGCATCTAGCTCCATCTAGTTCCAGGAGAACCTGAATCTTGACCCGGAGTATGGTTTTCACTCATCACCAGATAAAAAGAGAATGAGTAAAAGAAACAGTTATTGTGCATTGAATACTTAGTTCTAATTCTGGTTCTCAGGTTCTAATAAAAGTATTAAAACCTATAGTCCTCGTTATAAAGGACTAACAACATCTCTTCTGCTTCGTGAAGAAGTTTAGTTCATAAACAAGAAAAAATTGACAAAATTACTCAAACAAGTACAACCATCCAACCAACCATCCAGTATGTATTGATGACTTAAACCAAACCTGTATCAGTTCCCAGCAAACAATATTTGATAATAGCTCTGCAGCTTTTTTTCAAGTTGTTGGAACAGTGTAGGACTTTCTTACAGTCGCCTTTGTTTAGTTAAAATTTATGTAAATTCTAGCTTTTACTTGAGATATGGATTCTTTACTCTGTAGATCCGAGAAATAAACAAAATAACATTGCTTTATAATTGGTATTATCTTTATTCTACAATCTACAGAACATGACAGTATTTTGATGTCGAAAGCAGGGTTTTTAAAATGTCCATATTAAATGAGGTTTCGAGACATTTAGGTGATGAAACAGATCCGTCTATTCTCTGATGGGTTAAGATACATTGTTATCATTTTGATTCAGAGACAGCTTTAATCCAGCTTTATTCTATTTCTAAACGTTAAGAATACCAATTTAATAAGTTCATGTGGGATGGGGACGGTGGTTTGTCCTCGTGATATTGCAATTTCAAACCCTCGTACATACTTAGTAACTTTTGTGTCTCTTGTTTATAAAACAACAGGGTTTCATTCTTAGTAAATATACATTTAATACCTAATACTTTTATTTCTATCACCAGGATTGTAGGACAAGAAAATGGCTAATTTACATGGATTATTTTCATTTTGTTTTGGTTTTTTCGTTTATTCTTCTGTTTCCGTTTACTTATCTTCTGTTTTTTCGTCTGTTTTGCTTTAGTTTCGTCTTTTGTTTGCTCCTCTTTCTTCTCTGGTTCAAAATCTTGAATAGTAACAAGGTTTTCCTTTGGGAAGTATTGAGGAGATTTCTCGGTAGTTGAATCCGTGTTATTACTGGATACTGTAGGTTTAGGTTCGGTCTTCTCTTCAGAGACGGGGTTTATAGTGTCTTTCCGAGATCCTTTTCTAACAGAGCTTCGAGGTCTCCCATTCCCTCTATACCAGCTTCTAATAATAAAATAAGATTGAGAAACGAATAAAAAGGCCTTTTTCTTTAATTAGCGGGTACCAACGCTAAAACGCATCAGGGTTACGTTTACGAGATGTCCAAATTCTGGTCGTCTTACTTTTATCTTAAAAATTAACGGAAATGTCTTTTTAAAATAATTTCTGGACATACCTCTCAATATCTCTGTCAACTTTTAAGGTGCAAAAATTGTAGACCACATTTTGGAAATTCCGAGACTAATAGTTTTAGGTCATAATACATAAGTTTATTTCTGTATTTGAGGCATCTGGCATATATTGAACTCAGGGGCGCATACAAGAACTCCTGAGGGGGGAGCAATCATTAAGTGAACTTTCAGTAATCCACAAATTCAAGATTTTAATTAATTCTGTTAAATTAGAACTGACACTTCCTGTCATGGACTAAAAGTTGCATAATGCTATGCAATTGATAAAAGTCTATTTAATTGACAGTTTTTAACTGCGTTTTTATCTTTTTCCTCATAAACTTCCAAAATTCATTTGATTCGATATGTTTCGGACTAAAATATTAAGATTTTAAATTTTCGCCATTTTCCAGGAAGAACCTATGTCTATAAAACTAAACTGATTCTTACTTATGTCTGGCGGATTGTCTGCTGCTCGCGCCTTCAGGACAATCAGTTGACCAGCTGGGGTTCCCGCCGGCCGCCGAAAAATCTGATTTTAGATTAAACTTTTCGGCCACAAAGCCGAGGAAGCAAGATGTTCTCGTGTAGGCTCCAGGATACCCAACCTGAATTTAAATCAGAAAAATAACATAAAAATCATCAAAACTTCTCTGTAATGTTACAGCAGAAAGTAAAGGGAGCATATTCGATTCACACACGGTATCTTGACACCATAATACAAGCGGAAATGTTATTGTCGTTTGCTATTCACTGCAAACCCAGTTGTGCACACTCTCCCACAAAAATCGAGCAGTGTTTTGACAATTTAAGCATTGGGTCAAGTGCGTTAAATGTATATGTCTTCGCCTACAAAAAAGTATAAGTGAGTTTGAAAGGTAAGCACAAAGGCTATTGTGTTGCAACACTTTAAAGTCAAGACTGGCCGAAAATTTGATTACTAAAGTTCGAGTTGTCTATATCTCAGTTTATCAGGTATGTATTCAATAATTCTATCTGTTAGGGTTAGTTTCTACATATGCCATTTATTTCAGTAAATTTTAGGTAAAACAAATGCTTTGGAAGAAACGGAAGCTGAAGATGTAAGAACAAAGGCAAAAGAAAAAGTCATTTAAAAATTTCAAACAAAATATGCTTTTGATGCACTGAGCTGGATTAAACAAAACAATAAAATGTTATATTTATAAATAATATCATAAGGGTTACCCACAAAACATTAAAACATGAGACTTTAATGACTACTTGAAAGCTCTTAAAACCTAGCGATTTAGGGGTTAAACTTGGTCCATTGCCATAAATAAAGTCTTAAATAACAACTCAAATAATTTGGTAATGACAGAAACGATTTTACGGATGTGTAGGAACAATGAACTTTAAAAAAGGATTAAAAACATTGCGCCCATTTGTCTCCAATAAAGTCTCCTATATTATGGGTAAACCTGTATATTTAAAATGGTTGAAATCTAACCTCCGCGCAACCAACTCCGAAGCTAACTATTCCTATCCAAGAATATCGTTTAGTATTTGCATCAGAATATTTATGCGCTGTTCCAACCAGAGGTCCTCCGCTGTCCCCTTGGCAAGAATCCTTTCCTATACACAGGAACATTTAGTGGTTATCAATGGCCATTGAAAGTAAATGGTAAGGTGAGGGGGATTATCAATGGGAGTATAGTAAGGTGAGGGGGGTTATCAATGGTATTTAAAGGGGGCACATATATGATTCACAACGGTACCCTTGAAACCTTTATCTGATCAATAATGTGGAAGATAACGTCGTTCTTCAGACTTGAAAATTATTAAATTTTTCAAAATCTTAATCATGGATATCCATGATTGGTGGGTCCATGAAAATTACGTCTACAGACTCTTTATAGTTATCCTCGGAGATGAAAAATTATAGATGAATGAAAAAGAATATATTTAACCTGGTTCCGAAGCACAGATTAATCCTTTAGGATATTCAAAATTATCCGCGTCTTCACAGTTGGTGACAGTTACAGATGCATGTCTAGCTACATCAGGTATGCCCTTCACTTGCACTCTTTGACCCTAGTTCAACAATTCATTTCTTATTCTTTATAGAATTATTCTCATAATAAGTACCATCATCATCGCCATAGCCATCATTATCATTATTATTATTATTATTACCTTATAGTTTGAGAATGTGTCTCCTACAGAGAAGCAGTGAGCTGCCCCGACTAGAATTGTATCATGAGGAGGTCCGGAGAGTAAAGTTATTCCACAAATATGAAAACCCTTATACTTCAAGGAGCAGAGCCAGGGATATTCATTTTCAGTTATCTCGGTCCCTCCAACAACCCTTGACGCACTCCCTTTCTCTCCGCAGTCAGGGAAATCTTCCAAGAAGTCTCTCTGTGGCGCTGGAGTTGGTTTAGCTGCTTCGGTTGTGGTATCACCAGTTATGACTATGGCTCCATCAGTGTCAGTAATAGTTCCAGATGACCCTGATGATCCCGATGTACCTGATGATCCTGACGTTCCCGATGTACCCGATGATCCCGATGTTCCTGTTTCCGCCAATGCCACAATTGGAGCCACTGTTGTCGTTGTGGTTGTTGTTGCCGGAAACAAGGTTGGCCAAAGTAGAGCCCCAACAGAACCAATCGCAATTCCAACTGGAAACGCGATAATTTCCAGTTGTCGGTTCTTGGACTTTAAAATTGATGGTTGGTCGACTGAGTCTGAAAACATTAATTATTAAAAAAAGTGATTTACAAAACCAACACAATTTTCATAAACATGGTTATTAAAAACAAGAGTTGAGGATTAAATCATTGAAAATTCTACATTTCCTAAAGCACACAGGGACATTATTAAAAAATACTATTAGAATAAAGATAAAATTATCCTTTTACTAAAATTTAAAAACATTTCGTGTTTATCGTGAAAAATACTAATTGAAAAACGATAAGCTCAAGTTGCCCGTGGAAAAAATATTTCGGTTTTTAAAAAAAAAAATAAGATTTTTGAAGAAATTTTTTTTTTGATATTTTTTAGTTTATGTTACCCCTGGGTACTCAAAGGTCTCTTAAAAAAATGTCAGCCCATTCGGTTCAGCTATAGCTAACATATAAACGAATGTATATGAGCGAAGCAAAGAGCTTTATTATATAGATTTAGAATAGTAATTTTATTCAAAATTTTTAGTTGCAACATTTTTGACGATTTTCTTTTTAGATCTGTCCCCTGCAATGCATCNCAATCTACATGTATCCAACTCCATATAGGCGGAAAAAATATAGGTATTAGAAAATCAGAGTTTGTTACAAAGACTCAATTCCTTTGTAGGCATTTCATATTCACAACGGATCTTTTTAACAAGTGAATGCATGTATGGTACAATTACACTATACTTGTAAATCCTTGTTTCGGTTCATGCAATGATTAGAGCCATGGGAAGGATGTTGGACGGATCATTATAAATCAACAAAAATCTTGTATTTATTAAACGTTGATGAACCTGTTGTATATTTAGAGAATATTGGAATTTACTATCAATAGTCGCAGAAAATAAAAATATTTAAATTATAGTTTTTAGAACTGCGTTGGAAATAGAATATTCGTTATTTTCTAGGTATACTTGTAAGCGAACGTACACTTCCGTTTTACGGCAATTCGAACACTTTTTGAGAGATAAACACACAGAGTTCTCTAGCCTTGATGATCAGTCAAGTTGTAAGTCATGGGAGGGTCTCTTGAAATTATGACTTTTAGCCTATGTAAATAGATTGGTATGCATTCATTTTTTATTGTGATTTATAAATAATATATGTAAATAGATTGATAAATTAAGTATTCGTTTATCATTATTCATGATTGGAAATGCTTTTAAAGGCTTAATTACAAATTCCACTCTAAGTAAAACAGTAGAATTTCTTTAATTATATATTTTACGATGGGCGGAGAAAATGAAACTGTAAAAATATAACCACCAAAAATGTCACGTTCAAAAATCCATTTGATTAAAATTTTTCTCATAAAGCATAATAAAAATAATATGTTATTGATAAGAATATTATTTTTTTTTACAAAGTGGTTGTATTTTGGTTATAAAATTGTTATATTTTTGGTTAGTTAACTTTTTTGTCAAAACATGATTTCATTTTTGTCCGCGATACTTCTTGTTGTTATATTCTTAGCTTTATATTTCCCCCACCCCATCTATTTTATACCAACTTCTTAGAGAACTTTTTAATCATACCTTGCCTGGTCTCCACCATATCTTGTCTACTCAATATTTCATTATCTTCTACTTTCTTCTCTTTCTTCTTATCCGGTAGATCATTGTTTTGAGTTTCTTCTCTGATTTGTGCCTGATCTCTTGTATTTTCTCCTTCATTGATTTTGAATTGAGATTGATCTCTGTTTTGAGCTTGATTTCTGTTATAAGCTTGTTCCAAATTTCCCTTGTTATGTGCTATCCTATTCTGTAAGGTTTGAACTGTGGAATTTTCCGGACTATAGATCTGAAAAGGGGCATCGTAAACATATCCTGATACTGAATCTTCGTCAAAAACTCCTGTATACGCTTCTAAACTGTGTACAGTTGGATTATTTATTTTCGCGGATTTTCTGTTTTTCTCTGTGGATTTCCAACTGGACGGTAATTCTTCGGTTTTTATTTCGTCTGCCCAGACAGCCTAAAATAAACATTATTCACCTTCAATTTATAAAGTTTTATGTTCGATTGCCAATGGTACTCTTAAAAGCTATACTGACTACTGAGCACCAAATTTAAGTAATCTTTTTTGATTAATTTCTGTTGCAGTTTTCTGTAAATATGGGAGAAAAATGAGAGAATTTTCATCATTTAACAAATGCTATCAATTTATTAATTTTATGGCATGTTAATCGATTTTGTTAGTTTTTAAAACTCTTAATATAGCTCGATAACATTTCAAAACTGTATTCTGTTAAAGTTTGATTCTATAAAAGAATTGTTTTTACATAATGAACTTATATTTGAAGGGTTTTCTTCTGTGGATTTATGGGAGTTTTCTTCTGTGGATTTATGGGAGTTTACTTCTGGGGATTTATGGGAGTTTACTTCTGGGGATTTATGGGAGTTTACTTCTGGGTATTTATGGGAGTTTACTTCTGGGGATTTATGGGAGTTTACTTCTTGGGATTTATGGGAGTTTACTTCTTGGGATTTATAGGAGTTTTCTTTTGGAGATTTATGGGAGTTTAATTCTGTGGATTTATAGGAGTTTTATTCTGGGGATTTCTGGGAGTTTACTTCTGGAGATTTATGGGAGTTTACTTCTGTGGATTATGGGAGTTTGGTTCTGGGGATTTATGGGAGTTTGGTTCTTAAAATATGCGGGGGGAGCTGATGAAAGTTGATTTTTGAGAACATGAAGAACATGATGGTTTAACAAATTTATTCTAACTATCTCTACGTTTATTCAAGAATATAAAAGGTAAAAAAGAAAGTTGGCCACATTTAGGAAATCCCAGCATTTTAAATGCAAAAATTGAAGATGTCACTGTTAAGATAATTCTCATATATCTTTAATTGTATTGTAGTCACTAAATTTATTCTCTGTTTTACACAAAATATGCCAAAATACATACCTTCACATTAGGCCTGAAAATCGGATTAAATTCTGTTTTATCAGCTGAATCAGCTCCTTCATTAGTATTTGACTCTATAATCAGCCGGTGTGCTCTGAACTGATAACTGTTAATCACTAAACATGAAACCAAAAATATTTTCACGGATTTTCTTCCCATTTTAAAACATTTCTTTGACGCTTGAATTTCAACACAACCTAGTATCCGGGTATCTTTCATTCAACTGCTCGTACGCATATATATTGGTATGCGTAGGTGCGTCAAAGAGAAATTTTAAAACCACCCACGCCTACTACAGATTAAGTTTGTAAATGTTTTAAATAAAATATGTAGCTTTTTCTTTAACAGGTTTAATGTCTATGATAACCCCCCCCCCCCTTGTTGGAATGATGTTAGATCTCAAGTTTTTCAGATGCAAAAATACTTTTTGACAATGAACGAGACGTAGAGATTTGACAAAAAAGTATATATTTTCTAGCAAACGTTAATACAAAAGTTATCATATTTGTTTTTAATCCAGATTTTCGAACTCGACCTTGAAAGTTAAATGTGGACTTTCTCACACCACGTGAAAGTGAGATTGGGTTTCTCTCAGATTACTTCCCGACCTTGGTTCCCAGACATACTTGAACCAAACCTTGTATCCCACACTGTATACTTGTATCCAACCCAATATACTTGTATCCAACCCAATATACTTGTATCCAACCAAATATAATTGCTCTCCAACCCAATATACTTGTATCCAACCCCATATACTTATCCAACCCAATATACTTGTATCCAACCCAATATACTTGTATCCAACCTAATATACTTGTATCCAACCCAATACACTTGTATCCAACCTAATATACTTGTATCCACCCAAATATACTTGTATCCAACCCAATATACTAGTATCCAATTCAATATACTTGTACCCAACCCAATATACCTGTATCCAACCTAATATACTTGTATCCAACCCAATATACTTGTATCCAACCTAATACACTTGTATCCAACCCAATATACTTGTATCCAACCCAATATACTAGTATCCAACCCAATATACTTGTATCCAACCCAATATACCTGTATCCAACCTAATATACTTGTATACCCAATATACTTGTATCCAACCTAAACCCAATATACTTGTATCTAACCCCATATACTTGTATCCAACCCAATATACCTGTATCCAACCTAATATACTTGTATTCAACCCAATATAGTAGTATCCAACCCAATATACTTGTATCCAACCCAATATACTTGTATCCAACTCAATATACTTGTATCCAACCCAATATACTTGTATCCAACCTAATATACCTTTATCCAACCTAATATACTTGTATCCAACCTAATATACTTGTAGACCTTATAGACGCAACAGATAGAAGTAAGATTAGTAGCGATCAAAAGCGCTTTTTTATGGCATAAAGCCTATACCCCCTTTCATTTTTTCGCGAACACTCCCTTCAATTGAATAATTGAGAAGCTATTTGCATCAAAACAAACATAAAACTGGAGGTTTAAGATTTAGAGATTTGACTTAAATTAAACAATAAATAAAAGTAATACTGAAAATTTTTGAATCACGAATAGCCAATATCTTAATACAGGGAAAGTAAATGAAATAAATTACTGTAAAAATAAAAAAGCTTAAGCATGAAAATCTTCAGTTTTCTCAAAACTAAAATTCGAAAAAAACTCTACTGCAAACTTGAGGATGAGTATATATATAATTTAAATTTGTCTCCGTATCTTTGCAGTGCCATGGTTCCTTAGAATCATTAATCTAATAAAAGAAAGGGAAAGGATAACTTCTCAACATACAAAAAAAATATAAAAATAAAAATTCCCAAATAATTTATTTCAGAAATCACTCAATTTTACTTCTTTAATTTGAAGATAAAATAACACATAATGTTGTTAACAAAAAATTAGATTTTAGGCCAATTTTCTCTCATTTTTTCCTTCTTGCTTTCTTTTTTCGTTTCCTTCCTTTCATTTTTTCATTTTCTTCTTATTTTGTCTGAAAAGGTGTGCCCCCCCCCCCTGTGCCCCCTAAATACACGGTCAGAAGTGGAGTATAGCGGATTTGCGTATGTCTAAAAATAAACCATCTATATAATATACACGGACAGTAGCTAAGTTAGGTCGGATGTGTAGTATAACGGATTTGGCGTATGTCTAAAAATACACCATCTATATAATATACACGGACAGTAGCTAAGTTCCAACCCATATTTATATCCTTCTATCCTTGAAATTTATAAGTCTGATGACAATTATTAATATTTTATTTTGTTCACGTGAATGACGTAGGAACATGTTTTCCTCATATTCAATAATTATTTATTTATGAGGAATTTTTGTATGTCATAGCTGGGGAACCCAGCTTTGCCTGGAAACCTAATTTCTCCTGTAGCAGTCGAAGCTGACTCAATACAGACAGAATTTGTAAACTTTGTTAAGCTGGCAAGATTACTACTTTTTATGCGTAGATTCATTGTATGTATATTGTATGTATATTGCATGTTTATTGCATGTTTATTGTATGTATATTGTATGTATATTGTATGTATATTGTATGTATATCGTATGTATATTGTATGTATATTGTATGTATATTGTATGTATAATGTATATTGTATGTATATTGTATGTATATTGTATGTATATTGTATGTATATTGTATGTATATTGTATGTATATTGTATGTATATATTGTTTATTGTATGTATATTGTATGTATATTGTATGTTTATTGTATGTATATTGTATGTATATTGTATGTATATTGTATGTTTATTGTATATTGTATGTATATTGTATGTATATTGTATGTTTATTGTATGTATATTGTATGTATATTGTATGTATATTGTATATTGTATAAAGCATGTGAATTGTACAGAAATTCTTTGTACCAATTAATGCAGTACAAACATTGTATACATATGTGCCGTACGGATGTAACATGTATGTACATGCCAGCGCGGCAAAAAAAAATTGTGCACCCCCGGCCTTGAAGTATTGTGCTCCCCCATCCCCTAAAATCTCCTATTTTGGAAAAGGGATTGTTTAATTTTATTTATCTATATTACAGAACCTTGTCTTTCATACTAATGCTTTGCTTGGTTTAGAATATATATTTGTTAATTATGTATTAGAGGTGCAAAGAAAATGAGTTTTTTGTCACAAACTTAAAATTATATTCCCTAAATCTGTGCAACCTGATGTCGTAGATGTTTGATATTTCAAACTATGAATTCTGTTAGGTTTACACCATCAGGTTTCAAAGAATTAAAGGATTAAAAAATTTGAGTTTGTGGCAAAAACTTAGTTCCTTTCTTAAAAAATCCTTCCCCCTTTCCAAAATGATTTTTCCCTCTATAAATTAGATATGCTTGCTCGGTGCATGAACAAAACTTTGTAAAGTTTTATTTGCTGAGTTTTCGGGTAAATTAGGTGGTTTATTTGCTGAGTTTTCGGGTAAATTAGGTGGTTTATTTCTGAGTTTTCGGGTAAAAAGATTGAATTTTTTATCACAGAAAATTAGGTAGTTTGTTTGCGCGTATCAATTTAAAAATTTTCTGGGTTTTACTTGCTGAACTTCTGCTTGAGAAATATTGAAAAAATATTAAAAAAGGCTGAAATTATTTTATATCCCTCCCACATGATACAAAATCATTTTATAAATGAGGCCCCCCTATGCGTGCCCACTAGTTCCTAATCAGCGTCATTGTCAAAAACACACAAAATATATGGCCGAGCGCTGCGGACATGGTGATCAATGGCAATAAAATGTATGCTGGCATTTAAGATAAGTTAATTTTTTACCCAAGCGCTGTGGCTATGGGGTATCGAAAACCGATTAGGAATTAGGAAACTCTCGATGAACCTTTGTAAACCTCTCAATAAACCTCAGAAGACTTAGAAAACCTCCCGATAAACCTTAAAAATAAACTCTTTTATTGATATCCATGGTGGATAATTATCTGAATATTTTTTTAATAAGTCCGGAATAATAAAAATAGATTGTTAATAGTTTAGCAGATTAACATTAATATTATCAATTATTGCTAACTCCCTCAGGAAGGAATTGAGTCTTTGCCACAAACTTAAAGTTTCTAATCCCTTTACCTATGCAACAAAATGTTGCAGATATTTCAAACTACAATTTCTGCTAGATCACTTAATCTAAGTTTAAAATATCAAAGGTTTACCACATCAAGTTTATTGGGACTAGAATATTTGAGTTTGTGGCAAAGACTTGTGTGCGGGTTTATTATATAAATAATAATAAATAATTATGATAAAGTATCAACAATTAAAGCTATAACTTGTAAACAGAAGTAGTTAAAAAATTGCTTGATTCATACTACGTATTAATTCTTATTCAAGTCAACACTTGAAAATATGAAATATATATGGGGGGGGGGGTCAGTAGGGAGGGGGCGGCGGGACAAGACTAATAAATTTTAGAAGGCAGACACACTAACTCTTTTTTTTCAAATTTTGCTCACATTTCAGCTTGTAGTTTTAAAATAAGCAACTAAATAATTTCATATTCGGTTTGTTTTAATAAAACGGAACGTTTTTTGTTTGTTTTTAATTTTCAACACATTGTTTCGGATTATTAAATCTTTAAAAACTTCTGAAAATTTTAAATGCTATGAAATCAAAATATTGACAAACGTTAACGAAAAGTTTAAATAGAATTAAAAAAAACCCTGCCCGTCCCTAGGTCCAGTAGATTAATTATTAAACAATTATTCAGAAAGATCAAATTATAACCTCAGTCAGTTGGTTCTTGATACCCTTCCATGTAGGTTTATTCTAAAAAATGTTATGTCACCTATCTGTTTTTTTTCAATGCAAAATAACTCTAATCTACCCAGCATGGCAAATAACGTTCTAGGAATGTATCATAACGTTCATTTATCAACGTTACACTTTTAATGTTACTTAAATATAAATTGTAACCAATCTGTTGTATTGTAAGTAATGTTACTTTTCTATATTTTTTACATTTATATGTCTATTGCACTAAACATAATGATTTCTTTTGAAGTTTTGAAATTTCCAAAATGTGTTCTACCTTTTATATGCTTTAAAGATTAAAAGAGATTTAAAGAATGTTGTTAAGATTTTATTTAATTACGAAAAATATCAAGGTTGCCAAATCATTAAAAGAAATTAAGTTTTGGCCAAAAGCTCAGATTTTCTTGTTACTTTGCAACCTCGTGATGTAAAACTTAAATATTTCAAGTTTAGATTATTTGATCTAACAAAATT